AAAATTGCCTATTCCTCTAAAGGTGAGACGGTCGATTTTCGATTTTGTTTTTCAAATCTTTGATAAATTTGTATGGCAGTTTTTTTGTTGGAGATGGGAAGATTGAAATTACTACCCATTTGTAAAAGATTAGATACTTTTAGTGGGATTTCTGTGTTCGTTATTTTTATTATCATTGTTCTACTAAGAAATAAATCAATTATGTGTAGACATTAGACATCTCTCACTAATTTAATATGCTCTTATAGTTGGCCCTGTCTTTCTAAATCTTAATTTTATAATATCACACGAGCCTTGTCTTTAAATATCTAATTGTTTTCCTTTGATTATTATAATAGTTCTTATATATTTGATGTAAATAAGTTTTAAATAGTTCTGATAATTGAAACTTTATAAATTATTTTATTAATTATTTTACCCGAAAAACCTTATTTATTATAAATGAGACGCCATATTATACATTTATTATTTTAAACCATACCTAGATATACCATGTACAATATTTCCAATTCTAATAATAATCTTCATTTTTAATTACAGTTTACAGAGGAAGACGCGCCGGATTTCGCGTCCAGGAGAGAGCGCTTTAGCTTCTGTTTTTAAACTGTCCTCGCCCCATAGTATTTGTCATGGCCAAGGAGGGGCGGACGAGGACGGATAATTAAAACGCCGAATATATATAATAATTATTTATGAAAAATTATATACATAAATAAATATACATATATATACATTTTGTTTTTTAAATAGTAAACCTATAGATAAAACTTTATAACCCTAACATATTATGAATTGATAAATAAGATCGCATAAACATTATTCATACTATAATTATTTGGTGAATAACATTATTGATAATAATAAGAGAAATAATAGAAAATGGTATAGTGATTGTGATTGAAACAAACATTCTTACGACAATTTGCATATTTTTAATTTTAAATGTTCTATGTGAAAAAGTTATCAAAATATTTTTGAGTTCAAGTACATTTAACAGCAAAAACTGCATATACGTACAGTATTTAACTCTGCCTATTACTTGAAACAAATACATTATTCGATATTACCAAATTGGAACTCTGGAATTACGAGTAATTATTTTTCATTGTACAGACTAGGTTTAAATTTTTGAAGACCTTCTTTTGAACATGGCTTGACCTTTTCATTTTTATGATTTTTTGGAGATAGGGTGAGAGAGGACGAATGAGGGTAAGAGAAGACGAGATAGGCGAAAGAGGGTGAAAGAGGACGAAATTGGGTGTGAATGAAAGAGGGCGAAAGAGGACGAAAAAGAGGACGAAAGAGGGTGAAAGAGGACGAAAGAGGGTGAAAGAGGATGAGAGAGAATGAAAGAGAGTGAAAGAGGACGAAAGAGGGTGAGAGAGGGCGAAAGAGGGTGAAAGAGGTGACGAAAGAGGGTGAAAGAGGACGAAAGAGAGTGAAAGAGGACGAAAGGGGGTGAGAGGGAATGAAAGAGGGTGAAAGAGGGTGAGAGGGAATGAAAGAGGGTGAGAGAGGACGAAAGAGGGTGAAAGAGGCGAAAGATGGTGAAAGAGAACGAAAGAGGGTGAAAGAGGGCGAAAGAGGACGAAAGAGGATGAAAGAGGGCGAAAGAGGGTGAAATGAGGAGGAAAGAGGGTGAAAGAGGACGAAAGAGGGTGAAAGAGGGTGAGAGAGGACGAAAGAGAGTGAGAGAGGATGAAAGAGGGTGAAAGAGGCGAAAAAGGGGTGGAGTGGGTGCGGGGGTGGGGGCGGGGGCGGGATGTGGGAGGGAAAGGGGGGGTGGAAGTTGAGGGAGGTGTGAGTAAAAGGTGAGAAGAGATTTATATATATATATATATATATATAATCCTGATGACGTCAGCGGACGCGGACAGAGAAGAAGAAAGAAGAAGAAGAAGAAGAAGAAGAAGACGACGTTGCTTCATTTTTCATGAAAAACGTCACTTTTTGACCGCTTGTATCTCTAGAACGGCTTGACCGATTTTATTTTTCTTGACTCAAATTACTCGTGGCGATGCCGCTTTTTAGGTTATATTACGTGCAATTCAAAATTTTTATATTTTAGTAGTTCTACACCCCAAAAAATGGACTTTGATGGTGCAGGATAAGGAGACTTGTAGTGTCTTTTAAGGTCTCTTAGGGTTTGAACATGGCAGGAGACACTACCGCGTCTCCTAATATAATAATAATAAAATATAATAATAAAATAATATAAAATCAAAAATATATATATATATATGTATATATATATCTACACTGGCAGATCCATAATGGAGACCATGGGGGCCCTTCCACTTAGAGTTTCCTTTTTCAAAAGTATTTATAAAGAAATGTTATATTTAATATTTGCGAAATGCTTAATCACAATTTTTATTCCAATCATATTTTTAATTTAAGACTCGTTTAGATATAAAAAAAAAAATTCATATTTGATCTGAAAAAAAATTTTATTTGCGGCGAATCAAAACCTCCTTAACAAATTTCTGGATCCGCCACTACATATTTATCTATAATATATACCCAGTAAACACTGTTATATTAATGTTATTTAATTTATTTCATTCTTTGAATCCTTTGTTAGGATTATAGGTCAGAAATTAAATTAACAAAGAAAATATATACTTTGAATCTTATATTAGTATTCATTCCTTATATGCATTTCATGGGGAAAATTTGAATACGAAATATTAAGTCTGGTTTCGCCGCGTAACGGCAAACAAAAAATAAAATAAATAACATTGTAACATCATATTTATGTAAAAATGTATATTTATGTAAGAACCCAGTAAACACAAAGTAACAGTAACATAACATTAATGGTACAATTTCCTATTCAACAATATAACTGTTATGTACAAAGCATGTTACATTGCAGTTAGATTGTTGAGTAGGAAATTACATCATTAATGTTATATTACTGTTATTTGTGTTTACTGAAAATAATTTATATAAGAAGCATATTTCATATATAAACTATTAACGTAACAACTATTACATTACTTATTACTCTAAATAACAACTGTTAGTGGGTATATATATATAGTATATACATATATTTAGACGTTTTAAATGTATATAACTTACTTTTTTAGACTTTTCTTATTCTGCTTATTTTTCTAATTCCAAATCCTAATCTATTTCTAAATTTCTTATTTTGAATCTCATTTTCATTTAAAGAAACGAATGTTATTTACTATCACAAGTAAATGAAATTTCAATATAATAATAAAATATAATAATATATAATATTATATATATAATATAATATAATGTATTATAATCTCATTATAATTTATAATAATTTTTGTTTGGACAAAAAATTGAAATCTGTCTGTCATTCCCCTTGTGCCATACCGCTACTGTATCACGTGTACTTACATACACGCGCTCGATCTCACAAACACGCAAGGCAAGCTGATACCCCTCCTCCGAACCAAAATATTATCGAGTTGTATCCTTCGATATACATTGTCGGTCAGAACATTCAGTCTGTATTGGATTCTTGTCGAGAGCGTTTCTCTTAATAAAGAACGAATTTATCGAAACCTTTCCTTTTCTCGAGTCTCAACATTCCGACGTCTCCAGCTAAAGTAACAGTTCGGTTTATAACGGATAGTACGTAAATCGTTTTCAACTGAAAGTTTCGACATGGTCCTTCGAGCCGGATCGCCGAAAGTTCGTCGCGAGTGACTTTCTCGGCGAAAATCCACCGGAAATTTGAGACTCCTCAAGAATCGTATCGAACATTAAAAAAGTCGCATCAGTACCTCCGAAAGGAAATAGCGAGTGCAGTTTCAGTGTACGCCACCTCCGTACCGAAAAAGGGTATTTAGTGTGAGATCCCTATTCGAACCCCAACTGATTCGTCCGAATAATGGCCTCGATCGAGAAGATCATGGAACGTCAACACGTCCTATTCGGCCTTATCACGCGTTCGGTCGAAAATCTGAAAAAACTCGGACCGTCCCGAATAAATCGCGGCAATGTGCAGAGTCGCATTGAAGCATTAAGGGTTAATTGGGATAAATTTCAAGCTCACGACGAGAATCTCTTCACCTCGATCACCCCCGAACAAAAGACACTGCCGTACTTCAAAGATGATCTCTATTCCATGTGCGAAGAAGCTTTCATAGACGCACACGGCTACATGCTCAACATCCTCGAAAGCCTAGCTCCACCAGTTCCTCAAAATATATCTGCCGCCGAAGCATCGTTGAGCACATCTACCGGGTCGCGATCTCGACGGCTACCGCGCATCGACATACCGAAGTTCTCAGGCGACTACTCAGAGTGGAGTCACTTCCGGGATCTTTTCACGTCAATTATCATAGACAATTCCGAGCTCTCAGAAATTGAAAAACTCCATTATCTCAAAATGAGCCTTTCTGGCGAACCTTTACAACATCTAAAAACATCGCAATGACTGGTGAAAACTTCACTCGCGCGTGGGAAAATCTCATCTCGATATGAAAATAAACGAATTCTTATCGACGCTCAACTAACGTGCCTCCTCGCGACCCGAAGAATAAAAACAGAAAACGCAGCCGATATCAAACGGCTCCTTGGCGATACTAAGGAAGCCATCGGCGCGCTCAAAACTCTCGGTTGTCCCGTAAAACAGTGGGACCTCATTATCGTTTTTTTAATGGTTCGAAAGCTTGATGCCGAATCGCTGAAGAGATGGGAAGACTCACTAGGAGCCAAAACAGATCCGCCCTCGTTCGCGGACTTCGAGACCTTCCTAATCAGCCGCATCTACACGCTCGAAGCTCTCGAAAGATCGCTGCCTCGAAAACAACAAATAAATTCGTCGACCTCGCGACCTTCAGGCGCACGATCATATATCGCTACCGCGCCGGAACAAAAGTGTGTTGTGCGCCGCGGGACACTACCTTTCGTCGTGTTCCAAATATCTAGAGAAGCCATACGACCAACGACGAGGGTTAGTCCTATTGAAGAATCTCTGTTTCAATTGCCTTGGGCCTCATCAGTTAAAAATGTGTCGCAATACAAAACGCTGCCGAATCTGTCGAAAGCAACACCACACAACGTTGCACGCACCGAACAGCAACAGCGATACCGTCGCGAACATAACTCCCGCAGCGTCCATCTCAGCGGCTCAACCAACCGCTCACGCAAGTACTCTTCAAGAAGCAAAGCACACTAACCAGCTCAACATCAACCAACCCCAAGACTATCAAGCTTCAAGCCATCTCTCGCAATCAAGAACCAGGCGTCGCGCCCCTGCTCTGTTAGCTACCGCCGTAGTAAGAGTTCTATCTCGACACGATCAATCATCGCAACTTCGAGCGTTACTAGACCAAGGATCAGAAGTGTCATTCATCTCTGAATCCGCTGCTCAATCACTAAAGCTCCCGCGTCGCTCCGCGGCTATCCCAATTGTCGGTATCGGTGCTCAACGAAACAGCGTTTCAAACGGCATCGTACAACTCCGTATCGCCTCACTGTATGATTCATCGATCTATTTCGAAATTGACGCTCTCGTTTTACCGAAATTGACGGCATATATTCCACCCGCTCAACTCGAATATAAACAGTGGCCGCATATTCAAAATCTTCAGCTCGCGGATCCAAACTTCGCCACGCCCGGAAAGATTGACCTAGTACTCGGATCAATAGTTTATGCTCAAGTCCTCAAACAAGGTCTTTGCCGCGGACCTATCGGAGCACCCATTGCTCAAAACACAGCTTTTGGGTGGATTTTATCAGGCCCGCTTTCAACTAGTGAAGCCTCCATCGAAGACGACTACTCTCTCAATGGAATGCAATGCTCGCTTGACTCCGAACTGCTCGATCTCTTACAACGCTTCTGGTCTCAAGAAGAAATAATCCCTCGACCTCACGCCAGAAGAATCTCAATGCGAAACTCATTTCGAATCGACTCACTCTCGCGACATACAAGGACGATTCGTGGTTCGGCTCCCTCTCAAAAGGAACATAAGTGATTTTGGTGACTCTCGCACGTTCGCTCAGAACGCTCTCCTCCGAATGGAACGCCGGTTCAACTCGAATCCGTCCCTCAAATCAGCTTACAGCGACTTTTTACGCGAATACCACGATCTCGATCACATGCGGATTCACAACTCATCCGAAAAGTGTCACCAACGCGAGTTCTTCCTGCCGCATCGCGACGTTACTCGCGAAACTAGCGCGACAACGAAACTACGCGTAGTGTTCAACGGTTCGCAGAAAACGACTCTCGGTTTTTCACTAAATGACGTGCTTCATGTCGGTCCGAAACTGCAAACCGATCTCTCAGACATTCTCATTCGATGGCGCAGACATCAATACGTGTTCGCAGCTGACATCGAAAAAATGTATCGTCAAATTCGCGTTCACGAAGACGACTGGCCACTACAAAAAATCCTTTGGCGAAACGACCCGAGTGAGACTCCGCAAGAATATCATCTGTGCACAGTAACATACGGTCTCGCGTGTGCTCCGTATCTCGCTCTGCGTTGCCTGCAGCAACTCGCTTTCGAATCAGATTCTCCGCGGGCGCTTGCTGCCGAAATCTTAAGCCGCGATACCTATGTGGACGACGTTCTCTCCGGCGCATCAAGTATATCTGAAGCTAAAACACAGATCAACCAACTAAACGAATCCCTCATAGCTGGCGGGTTCCATCTCAGAAAATGGATCTCCAACGACCCTGAAGTTCTAGCTGACATTCCTCATCAAGATCAAGCGTCATCTCCAATCCTCTCAGTCGACGATCGAACGATACATCATACACTCGGTGTACAATGGCATTACCAATCCGATCGTTTCGTGTTCTCAGCACCATCGCCACCACCAGCTGGATCCCTGACGAAGCGGTCAGTGCTCTCCTTCACTGCGAGCATGTTCGATCCGCTCGGATGGCTGGCGCCAATCGTCATTGTCGCTAAGATGTTCATGCAAGAGCTCTGGGCAATTCGCCTTGATTGGGATGAAGAGCTTCCCGAAAACCTCAAATCGCGCTGGATCAATTTCACTCAACAACTCGAAAACGTGACAACGATCTCAATCCCACGCTGGGTCGGCATAACTACGTCATCCCTCGCGATCGAACTCCACGGATTCTCAGATGCATCACAGAACGCCATCGCTGCTGTGGTCTATCTGCGCGTCATAAACAAATTCGACGACATCTATGTCACCCTTATCAGCGCCAAAACCAAAGTAGCACCTCTGAAACGCATGACGATTCCGCGCCTCGAGCTCTCAGCTGCCGTAATTCTCGTCCGACTAGTATTCAAAATTCGCAACGTGCTCCAAATTCATCACACGTCAACTCATCTCTGGACCGACTCTACGGTCGCTCTAACATGGATCAAAGGTCACCCATCACGTTGGAAAGATTTCGTTCAGAATCGAGTCTCTTTCATTCAAGAGCTCTCGAATTCTCGCTGGCATCATGTCACCGGAACGGAAAACCCAGCGGACCTAGCATCTCGAGGAATACCTCCCCACTCGCTTCCGCATGCTCAGCTCTGGTGGAAGGGACCTCTTGGCTACAACATCACTCTTCATCTTGGCCATCCCTGACTCCAAAGATCGAATCAACAATTAATCTAGAAAAGCGTCCTGTCTCTTGTACCCTCGCTAACGAAAAACCAGAAGTTGACCTCGGAGATCTCATCGAAAGATACTCTTCGCTCACCTCGCTTCTACGCACCACAGCCTGGCTCCTACGGGCGTTTGAGCGCTTCCGAAAATCCACAGCACATAGACCACATCAAGCGGTCCTGACGCCTTCCGAGTTAGAATCCGCATTACTACTGTGGGTAAAATTAACTCAACAAGCCTACTTTTCGAAAGAATTCCGAACATTGAGAAACAACAAGCAACTCTCTCCCTCAAGTTCCCTACTGAAGCTCTCTCCTGTCCTAGACGAAACCGGACATCTCAGGCTACGTGGAAGACTTCACTTCTCTCAACTGGAGCCATCAGAAAAACATCCGCTCATCTTACCACGAGATTCTCGACTAACAACGCTCATAATTGATTACTATCACAGGCGCTCATTACACGGCGGACCGCAGCTGACGTTATCGTTAATACGGCATAAGTTTTGGATTATCGGTGGACGAACTCCTATTCGCTCATTCATCCATAACTGTATTACGTGTGCCCGTCATCGCGCCGCCGCCAGTCAACAACTCATCGGACAACTTCCAGCTTCTCGTGTCACTCCATGTCGACCATTCTTCAATACCGGAGTCGATTATGCCGGTCCTTTGACTCTAAAGTCATTCCGCGGACGCGGAGCGAAGACAGTCAAGGGATACTTCATAATTTTTGTTTGTTTTAGTACCTCAGCTGTTCATCTAGAAGTAGCTACCGACTACTCAACTGATGGATTTCTAGCTGCTTACAAACGATTCACCGGACGAAGAGGCCTATGCTCAACAATCACGAGCAACTGTGGGACCAATTTCGTCGGCGCAGCTTCCGAGTTGAAAAAATTGTTCACCGCTTCCTCTAAGGAATGGGCTCACATTGCTAACATTCTCGCCAACGATGGAGTAAAGTGGAGCTTTAACCCTCCTTCGGCTCCACATTTTGGCGGAAAATGGGAGGCCGGAGTAAAATCCGTCAAACATCACCTCCGTCGAGTGATCGGCGAGACCCTGCTCACCTATGAAGAATTGTCAACACTATTGATTCAAATCGAAGCAATCTTGAATTCGCGCCCGCTCTCGGCCCTCTCAGACGATCCTTCTGACTCCGTCGCCTTAACACCAGGACACTTCCTCGTCGGGAACTCTCTCACGGCCGTTCCTGAACCATCCCTCATCGATCTACCTCAAAATCGACTATCACGATTACAAATGCTTCGTCAAATGACAGAATCATTTTGGCGACGTTGGTCGTCGGAATATCTACACGAGCTCCAGACATCATCCAAGTGGCATCGAAAACAAGAAAAGTTTCAAGAGGGCAGCCTAGTAATAGTCAAGGACGAACGCTTCCCTCTGACCAAATGGCCCCTCGCGCGGATAATCGAAACGCATCCCGGCTCAGACGAACTAGTCAGAGTAGCTACAGTAAAAACTGCTACCACTACTCTAAAGCGACCGATCGTAAAATTGTGCCTTTTACCGAACGTTACAAAACAGTGAGAATCAAAGGAACTCGACTGACGTTTAGTTGTCATTATGGTCTTGACAAGGCGGGCGGAATGTTTGGACAAAAATTGAAATCTGTCTGTCATTCCCTTGTGCCATACCGCTACTGTATCACGTGTACTTACATACACGCGCTCGATCTCACAAACACGCAAGGCAAGCTGATACCCCTCCTCCGAACCAAAATATTATCGAGTTGTATCCTTCGATATACATTGTCGGTCAGAACATTCAGTCTGTATTGGATTCTTGTCGAGAGCGTTTCTCTTAATAAAGAACGAATTTATCGAAACCTTTCCTTTTCTCGAGTCTCAACATTCCGACGTCTCCAGCTAAAGTAACAGTTCGGTTTATAACGGATAGTACGTAAATCGTTTTCAACTGAAAGTTTCGACAATTTTAAATAACATTATATATATTATATTTTGTTATAATTACAACATTATATGTAATATCCCAGCAAATACAAAATAACAATTGTATAATATTAAATTATAATTTTCCATTCAAGAATATAAGTATTATATAACACTTATATAGAAGAAGAATATAAGAATACAAGAATATAAGTGGTATATAACATGCTTATATAATATGTTATATTATTAAAATTATAAACTTAATATTATATAATTATTACTTTGTGTTTGCTGGGATATTACATATATTGTTATGATAAAATATATAATAATGTATATAATGTAATAATATACATATATAATATAATATAATAATATATAACAATATAATATAATAATAATAATATATATAATGTAAAAATATATTATTTTCTTACAGACTCAAGAAAAAAAAATTTCGATGTAATCAAATATTTACATCTCCATGATTATTATTTATTCATACATTACATATTCTTTAAGTTCGTAATTAGTTCTAAAAATTTTAGTTCTAAAAATTTTAAATATAATTCTTGAAATGTATAATTTAATATTTTTACGATTAAAGATTGATTATTAATTATTGATTATTAATTTTATTTATATTTATATTTTTATTAATTTTATTTGTTCATTTTATTTTATTTTAATAAAATTTAAACGTTTAAATTTTATTATACAATTATATAATTAAATAATAAATAACCATTATATAATGCAATAAATTATTAAGAAATAATTATTATAATTGGATTATATAATAAAATTTGGATGTCTAAATTTGATCAAATATTTCGTTCACTAAAAAACATATCTTTTGCCAAGAAATTATTGGAAATACCTTATGGAATATTCTCGTTATTTTGAGATCGTGTTCAAATCTCAATTCCCTCATATTTTGAAACATATAAAGAACAGAAAAAGAATGTTATTGTAAAACATCAAATGGATATTGTTTTCCTAGCTTTCTTCAACAACTCAAGTAGAGACTTATTACTCTTTATATAATCCAATTCCTGTTATAAAAATATAACATTCATAGAATAAAACTCTCATAGATGTAGAAGTGAGAGCAAAAAATAGAATGTATTCATTATATTAATATCTTATCATGTATCACAGTCTGGAATTACAATAAAAGGACGTGAATAATTTTTAAATGTTGCATCTCTTGCTTCTTCAATAATTTGAAGATTTGATCAAGTAGAAATACATTAGTATCTACAACAATATATATAGTAGACTCTTCTTATGTAACTCTGCTCTATTATGATGTATTAATTCTAAAATATTTCCCGATATACAATTTGTCTCAATATGATTCAGGTTTCTCCCTAATTGTGTTCTAACAACTTCAACCTATATTAAATATATTAAATGAAAAATTATATTGTTTTCACTATTATTGTATAGATAAGATATATACATAAAACACACAATAGATTCCTAATTAATATAAATTTAAAAAATGAGTAAAAAATATAAAATATTTGAGATTACTAAAACACACAGTTAAAATAAGATAATTCTCTATGATACATAAATACACAAATTAATTAATGTTTTAATTATATTGATAATACCTCTTGTGCAATGGCTTCATCATTCATTGGTTCCCAATCCATGTGTTGCGTGCGTGCGCGTCTCGTGTCGAGCGCGTGTGTCAACGCACCTTCTTTATAATTTAATTAATTTATAAATTAGTACAGTTATAATTTTTAATAAATTTATAAATTAATTTATACATTAATAAATTTATAAATTAATAATTTAATATGAGATATATAAATATGTATATCACGAAAATATAAAATCTATGGCACACAGCATATTTTTCTTGCTAGCTATAATGCGTTATAAAAAAAATGTAAATATATATGTATGTCTAGGAATTGCAAAATATATATGTATGTCTAACAATTAGAATTAATTAATTCTAGCATGAAAAATGCATAGGATGCCTAAAAAATAACTTTACAAAATTATACACAATACATTATAAGGTTTTTTTAATGAAAAAATACATTTTGATTTATGAAATTAAGTGAACAGCAAAGATACAATAATATAAAGTTTTTGTTCTAAATTTATATAAATTATAAAGTACTCTAAAAATATGTATATAAAAAATAGTACAACTTAGTGTTAAAGTTTGTTCGGATTGGCTTATAATACTAAAAGTAATTTCATATAAAATATTCATATAGATACATATGTTATATATATCCATATTATCTTACATTAACAATAGTAGGCAATATTGGGCATCTTAAATATATCCTTATATACATGATCATGTTCCTAGATATATCATTTATTTAAAAGACATGGATGTTAAAAATGCTCTTCACTTTGACTCACAATCAAATAAATCATAGATGATTTATTTGTATTATATTTATTTATATTATATTTATATTATATTATATTTATATATTTATAACTTTATGCATTAAAAAATTTTTACATTAAACTTATATGCATATAATACCTGAATATAATATAAATAATTATTTCCATCATTTCTTTCTTAGTACAGACATGTATAAGACTGATTCCATTCTTTTATATATTAATGTTCTATAAATATTCTTCCCAAAAAATTATTTTTCATAAAAAATACGAAAAATGCGAGAATGTTATTTACATGATAACAAATTATCATATTTATATCAATGCTATAAAATACTTCTTCAAAATTATCCTAACAATCGTTTCAATCAGGAAGAGTGATAGTTCGCAAAGAGTCTTCGGGAAAAGTTGCTATTTCCGCGACAGTGCTGAAATTAAAGGGAACTGCTATTCCACCATCAAGAACTAAACCTCCATCAAAACACTCTGATCTTATGGTGATCCTTTTACAAAACCACGAGGATATATGCGCTTTGGAACGGACACTGCATCAGTCATTATCATATCTCTTATCGAATAACATAGTATGGAATCCTCTGTAAATATTTTTATACAATGAATCCTTTAGAATTTTGTTATATAATCTCGTAAGTCGAACATTTTTATAAAATAATAATAATAATAATAATAATAATAATTACCGCACAATTATCTTTTGTAACATCCTTTCTTCCTTCTTTCACTTTATTTTAAACTCTTTGTCTTCTTTATTTCTCCTTTCTTTCTTTAAAACATTAACTAAAAATAAAATATATAACACAAAGTATCAATTTTTTATAATATATAAAGTATTAATTAAATATCAAAAACACAAGTTCTATTAGAAACGTTATCTGAACTTATCTGATAAAGTAATCTTGAACACGTATTTGACAATTACTTTTGTAAAAGTAATTCGACAATTACTATTGTAAAAATGCATCATCAGAGTTATGCTTGAAGAAATATGGAATAATCCATTTTCAAAAAGCATTTTTCATCACAGAATGCACTTTCGAAGAAATAAAAATATATAAAACATATTATATTATAATATATTAAAATTTATATCTGTTTGTAATGATAAATATATCATTACAATGTTTGTAATTGTAAATATATAACATATAATATAAAATTAAAAAATTGTAAATATGTATATATAATATAAAATTTACTATTATAATTTATTTAAAGTAATTATAATTTACACTGTAAAATACCAGCATTCTTATTGAAATATTTCTGTATATACATAATTTTTAACCAATCTACTTTGTTTTTCTTGTCCTAAATAAATTTCTAATGATTCCCAAGATCTAACTCGTGAAAATGCAACATAAAGTTGTCCATGACTAAAAACATCTTTTCTTAAATCGATTGCAATTTTATCAAATGTTTGTCCTTGTGATTTATTTATGGTCATAGCAAAAGCTAATTTAATTGGAAATTGTCTTCTTTTAAATACAAATGGGTAAACATCTTCACAGTATAAAGTTATACGATTTAAAAGATAATTTCTCCTCTTTTATCACCAGTCAGAATTTCACATTTTAACAAATTATTTCCTAATTCTAAAATTAATAATCTTGTTCCATTACACAAACCTTCGCTGATATTCAGATTTCTAATCAACATGATAATTGTATATTTTCTTAATCGGAGTTCATAAGGTGGAAGATTTGTTGGATTTAAAGTATTTAAATATTCTGTTAAAATAGCTTCATTAATATCATTATTATCATTAGTAGTTTCAGTAGTATCTATACTTGTGTATACTCTTTCTGTTGATTCATCAAGTAAATTTACAACTTGTTTGTTTAATTCATCCACATCAACATTTCTTGCAGAAAGTATAACACGTTTTGCTGCAAGTCTATACTGATTGTGTTTGATTATTTCTTCGTATGTATCTTTCGTTATATTTGCATTTAAATTTGCTACACATCTTAATGGAATTTCAATATTATTAGACTGATCATTTAGAGAACCATTACCCAAATCTAATAAAAATTGAGCAAATTCCTGTTCATGTGGTAAAATACGCATATTTTCTGTTAATGAAAAAATTTTGAAATATTGCCATAATGAACTGAATTTAATTGATAAATTTACAGTTTCAGAACGTGTGGCATTTTGTTTTACTGGCAATAATTGTCTGAAATCTCCACCAAAAATAACAATTTTTCCTCCAAATGGTATATC